GACAGTAGTACAATTGGTCCGTTTAACTGTAAACCGCCTTAGAGCCTGTTCCGACTAAAATCTCGAATGGGGTAGAAGCACTAAAAACAAATCAATTTATTGGATATTAAGTTAACCAATCATACTAGTCCAGACCACGGTAGGTAGGACCCAGTGTAAATGGCGTCAACGAAAAGAACCCAACGGATGCTCATTGCGTTGCTGTGATAGACTAAGGGGTGAACGCGATGCCATGCTACCTCAACGTTGGTGCAGATACGATCGTATGTGCCACGCGTGTATCGAAGGTGTCGCGTTAACCATGCTCCAAGAGTCGGAGTGTTGCTCGGTACGACAAAGTAGTTTGTAATGGGGGAGCGGTAGCTACGGCCATCGGTCGACGAGAAGGCGGCTTCGATGGCAACCGCAACAGCAACACAACGTCGTCCATTTTGCACCTGAATGGAGGAGGCTGCAACGACATCACATGTTGACTAATTTTTGATTGGATACAGCTTATCTTTGATTACACCAATCAATATGAATGGTAGAATGAAAAACACGACGATTTGATTGGCTCTACCCCATTCTGAGTTTTAGTGGGAACAGGTTATTAATATTATACGGTTTACGGTAAAACTACAATTATTAATGCTAGTAAAATGAATACCAGTAGTAAGTGCTAACGCTACGTGATACTGTAGAACTACACCATTTTTCAATTGACTTGGACATTTTCTCGATGGATTCGGACAGGTCACTATTGGATTGAATGACGTGCCCATTCGAATGAATTAGTGCCCAATGGATTTGGTACCACGTTCGGTGTGCCCATTGGATTAGGCACGACCCCCTCGTGTGCCCATTCGATATGCCCATGCGCCTTATAGAATTGGTTTGTACCCAACCAAACAACCTTTAGATCATTCGAAAGTGACGTGCACTCTTTACAGTTGGCAATTGCTTTTTCTAGAACATCGGAGGGGGGGTTCTACAATTCTCGCGCGCTTTTCGTCACTATCAAATCTTCCTGATGACAGTCAACCATGGAGAACACAGCACCCCAAACGCCACCCAAACGAACGTACAAACGCATTCCGTTGTCGACCAAGAAGCGCATACAGTGTAGTTGATGCGTTCAACAACGCGATGGACTGGAAGCGCGTCGCTTAAGCGAACGGCGTCAACATCATCAGCACACGAAATTGGCTGCATCTGGACTCATTGACGCCGAAACAACGAGGTATGAAAGTCGAGTCTACTCGATCTAACATTGTCATGTAGGGGGAAACAAATATCACGACTCCTGACGGAGGAAAACGTCGACATGCTGCAAAGTTGGGTGGAGCATGACGTCCAAATCACGCTCCAAGAGATCAAAGATCGATTGGCGCTTGATTTGGGCATCGAGGTGTCCACATCGACTTTGCATCGTGAACTCGACAAACGTGTGTTCACGTACAAGACGGTTCATTATGAACCCTTGCAAATGTTTTATTTTTATCCTTTGGATGATTTATTGAATTCATTTTTGAGTTTTCCTAATTGAATGCAAGCACGACACTTTTGAAGGATCTAAAGGTTGTTTGGTTGGGTACAAACCAATTCTATAAGGCGCATGGGCATATCGAATGGACACACGAGGGGGTCGTGCCTAATCCAATGGGCACACCGAACGTGGTGCCAAATCCATTGGGCACTCATTCATTCGAATGGGCACGTCATTCAATCCAATGGTATATCAACCGAATCCATCGA